CCCCGTCGCGCCCCTCCCAGGCCCCGTCGCGCCCCTCCTGGGCTCCGTAGCGCCCCTCCTGGGCCCTGTAGCGCCCCTCCTGGGCCCCGTCGCGCCCCTCCCAGGCCCCGTCGCGCCCCTCCTGGGCTCCGTAGCGCCCCTCCTGGGCCCCGTCGCGCCCCTCCTGGGCCCCGTAGCGCCCCTCCTGGGCCCCGTCGCGCCCTCCCTGGGCCTTGTAGCGCCCATCCTGGGCCCCGTCGCGCCCCTCCCAGGCCCTGTAGCGCCCCTCCTGGGTCTCGTCGCGCCCCTCCTGGGCTTTGTAGCGCCCCTCCTCGGCCTCGTCGCGCCCCTCCTGGGCCCCTGTAGCGCCCCTCCTGGGCCCCCGTCGTGCCCCTCCTGGGCCCCGTAGCGCCACTCCTTGGCCCCGTCCGCCTTCAGGCCCCGTCGCGCTCGCCCGGCCCCGTCGCCTTAGCCCGGCCCCGTCGCACCAGCCCGGCCCCGTCACGCCCGCCCGGCCCTGTCGCACCCTGCCCGGCCCCGTCGCAGCCGCCCGGCCCCGTCGCACCCGCCCGGCCGCCGTCCCGCTCGCCCGGCCTCGTCGCCCCTGCCCGGCCCCGTCGCACTCGCTCGGCCCCGACGCCCCGGCCCGGCCCTGTCGCACCAGCCCGGCCCCGTCGCGCCCGCCCGGCCCTGTCGCCCTCGCCCGGCCCTGTCGCACCTGCCCGGCCCCGCTGCCCCGGCCCCGTCCTCCTCACTGGTACGGTTCCCCCCCACCCCGCCCTGCACTGCCCTGCACCGTACCGCCCCGCACCACACTGTACTACCTTACACCGCACTGCACCGCACTGCACCCCACTGCACCGCACTGCACCGCACTGTACCGCACTGCACCGCACTCCACCTAGCTGCACTGCACTGCACCGCACTGGACTGTTCCTGATGGCGGCGGAGCTTCGCTTCGACGCTGAAGGTCAGCCCCTAGAGTTCGAGGCGTGGCTTGCCGACCTCCGCCGCCAACTCACTGGCCAGCGGCAGGATGGTGAACCGCTTTCCGCACATCTTGACGGTACGCTCCCCTGCCCAGACCCCCCTGCTATTCTGCCCGCTGACCCCACACCCACTGAGCGTGAGTCTACTGCTGCCACTGCCCGTGCGTGCTCTGTCTGGCTTTCTCGCGATGCTGTCGCCCAGCTTGCCATTAGCAACGCCCTCCCCCCGTCCGAGCGTCCTCGCTTTAGGTCCCTCACTACTGCTTAGGCATACTTAGATGCTGTCATCAAGCGCTATTCCACCCCTCCGGCTGCCTCGGTGGGTCGCCTGATCCTCCCGATGCTCTTTCCTGACCTTGCATCTTTCCCCACTGTCTCTGACCTCGCTGCCCACCTGCGCTCGATAGAGGAGACCTGGCGCGCCGCCTGCACTGACGCACAGCTTAGAGCCCACCAGCCGCCCATTACCTCTACCCTCTACCTGCTTGCCACCCGCCTCCCTGACCGCCTTGCTGTCGCCCGCGACCGCTTCCTTAGCCTTCACCCCGCCGACCTCACCCTCACTGACTTTGTAGACACCCTGACTGTGATAGAGACCCGTCACCGCTCCATCGCCCAGGCGAGCGGTGTCGTGCCTGTCCCTATCTTTCAGGGTTGTGCCCCCGCCCAGTGTACCTTCTCCGACGGCTCTGTCGCAGTGGCTGAGACTGCTGCTGCCGCGCAGTTTCGTTCGGGGAAGGGCCGCCGCCCCAAGGTTGGGCGCGGCGGAGGCGGAGGCGGGGGTGCGGGAGGGGGTGGTGGTGGGGTCGGGTCGTCTGGTGCTGGAGCGGACGAGGGGACCCTGCCCAATTCAGCTGAGCCGCCGCCCCTGCAGTTGCAACAGCCGCAGCAGCCGCCGCAGTCGCAGCCTTCGCAGCAGCCGCAGCAGCCGTCGCAGACGCGGCAGACTAGTGTCCTCCCGCCCGGGTGGCCCGGCGCTGGCGGTGGCCGGGCGCGCGGTGGTGTGTCGAGTAGCAGCTCTGGCGGCGGGCGATGTCAGTACCAGATCCAGACCGGTCCTCGCCGCGGCTTCGTTTGCGGTAAGATCGGTCACTCCACTCCCCGCTGTTTTCGTCGCCTGGACGACCTCTTTCGTCAGCGCTTCGGCCCGTTGCCAGACCTCCCGGACTGGCACAGTTTGCTTAGTCGTAAGATTCAGATCTTTGAGATGGACATGGATGCCATTGTTTCTGCTCTGCATGTGATGTATGCTGATGACTCCAGTGTGCTTCCAGCTTATTACTCACTGTTGCCTAGTGTAGGAGTGCCTAGTGTACCCTCCCTTGCTGCGTCAGGCGTAGGATCCTCTGCTTTGTGTAGTCTTGGTGCTTCCGCCGTCGTTCCGTCGCCAGACGCCTCCGCTTCGCTTTCCTTCACCTTGGACTCTGGCGCTTCTCGGTGTTTCTTCCGCGACTCCACCACCCTGACGCCGCTTCCTGTTCCTGCTGTCGTTTCTCTCGCTGACCCCTCTGGCGGTCCGGTAGTCGCCCGCAGTTCCACCACCCTTCCCTGTCCGGCGGTTCATTCGGGCTCTCTTACAGGTCTGCATATCCCCTCGTTCTCCAGGAACCTAGTTGGTGTCGGCTGCCTCCAGGACCTTGGCGTCACCACTACGTTCCCTGGTCACGAGCGGTATGCTGTCTGTACCGAGGCCGCCGCTGGTGCCCCCCTGTCCACGTTCCCCCGGGACCCGGTGTCCGGCCTGTTCACTCTGGACACCGTGACCCCCCCGGCTGGAGCGCTCACCCAGGTTGCTGCTGCCTGCTCCTGTCGGTCTCTCACTCACCCGACCCTTCTTTGGCACCACCGCCTAGGTCACCGTGCGCTCCCGCGTCTGCGTCACATGTCCCAGCACGGTCTTGTCCTTGGTCTCCCAGGTTCTCTCCCCGCGTTTCCCTCCTCCCCAGCCCCACCTTGCACGCCTTGCGTCGAGGGTCGGCTTCGCCGTGCCCCTCACTCCTCCTCGTTTCCCCCTACCGCCGCGCCGCTGCAGACCCTGCACCTGGACGTCTGGGGCCCCGCCCCCGTCCCTGGGCCGCGTCGAGAGCGCTACTTCCTTGTGCTCGTCGACGACTTCACTCGCTACACCACAGTCTTTCCCCTGGAGCGCAAGGCTGACGTGCCTGGCGCTCTCATCCCCTGGCTTGTCTCTGCGCGTGTCCACCGCGGTCTCCCTGTCTTGCGTCTTCACTCAGACCGTGGTGGCGAGTTTGCCTCAGGTGTCCTTGGTCGCTTTTGTCGTGCGGAGGGCATCACCCAAACGTTCACTCTACCGGACTCCCCACAGCAGAATGGGGTCGCTGAGCGACACATCGGTTTGGTCATGGAGGTGGCTCGCACCTCCATGATCCATGCCGGTGCACCCCATTTTCTGTGGCCGTTCGCTGTGCGCTACGCTTCTCACCAGCTTAACCTGTGGCCGCACCCTCAGCAGCCGCAGGTTTCGCCGACCCGTCTGTGGACTGGGTCTCCTGGTGACGCGTCTGCGTTCCACGTCTGGGGCTGCCTTGCTCACGTTCGTGCCTCCGGCACGGACAAGCTCACTGCCCGCACTCTTCCCTGCGTCTTCCTCGGTTTTCCCCTTGACGCGTCCGACTGGCACTTTTACCACCCGCCATCTCACCGCTTCTTTCACTCTCGTGACGTCACCTTTGACGAGTCCGTCCCCTGCTACCGTCGCTTCCCCCACCGTGGTCCCCCGGTTACCCCCCCCCTGTTCCTGGCCACTCCTTCCCCGGTAGTCCCTGCCCCTCCTCCTCCTCCTCCCCGTCCCGCCCCCTCTGGTGTGTCCCACGTCACCCCCCTTCCGTCTGTGGACCCGGTTGAGGAGTCTTCTGACTCTGGTGGCCCTCCTGTGCAGTCCTCCCCGGCTGCCCCTCCCCCGGCGTCCCCTCCCCAGTCCCCTCCTCCACCGCCTCTGCCGCCGCTGCAGCCGTCGTTGCCGCCGCCGCCGCCGCCGCCATCGCAGCACCCGTTAGCTGACTCTGGGGGTGCTCGTCTCGGTCGCCCAGGGGGTGGCCCCTCTGGGGGTGCTGGTGTGGAGAGTGCCGGTGGTAGCCGAGGAGCAGCTTGCGGTCCAGGTGTCGCCGTTGTGCCGCCGCGGCAGCAGTCCCCGCCGGTGTCAGCCCTTCGCTTGCTCGGCCTTCCGTCCCCCGACCCTGCGTCTGTTCCTCCCCCACCGTCTCCTCCTCTTCCTGTCTACGGCCCTGTTTTCCCTCCGCCGGACTCGTCCCCGGCCTGTCTCCCCCCTCGTTCCCCTCCTGTTTCCCCTCCCCTGTCTCCTGACCCGACTCCTCCGTCGCACGTCTGGTCTCACCGTCCCTCTCGTGCTCGTCCTGCCTCGCCTGTCTTGCGCTCCCACCCTATGTTGCTTCGTTCCCACGCGTCTCGTCCTCCCCTTTTGCCGTTGCCTCCTCCGTCCTCCCTTGTTGTTGCACCCCCCCCGCTGTCTGACTACCTTCGTGCAGCTCGTCCCCTTGTTCCTCGGGTCCTTGCCTCTCTCGTTACCGCCCCGTCCGTTCCGGTCTCGTGCCTTGACGCTCTTGTCGCTGCGGTTCTCCACTGCCTTCCTTCAGGCAGCCTACACGAGCAGGTCTACCTGCGTCGCCCTCAGGGCTTCACTGGCACCTTCCCTCCTGGGACCCAGTGGCTCCTGCGGCGCCCCGTCTACGGCCTGCGCCAGGCTCCCCGTGAGTGGCACGACACTCTCCGTGCTACGCTTGCTGACCTGCAGTTCTTTCCGTCTTCCGCAGACCCTTCACTCTTCGTTCGTGCTGGCCAGACTCCGTTCTACATCCTTGTTTACGTCGACGACCTGGTCTTTGCCACAGCAGACAGGGACGCACTGGCCTCCGTGAAGGCAGAGCTGCTGAAGAGACACACGTGCACTGACCTTGGAGAACTGCGCCGTTACCTTGGCTTGCAGATCTCCAGGGACAGAGCTGCGCGCACCATCACCCTGACTCAGTCACACTTGGTGCGCCAGGTCCTTCAGAGGTTCAGCCTTCAGTTCTCCTCTGCACAGCCCACCCCTCTGCCTGTAGACCACAGACTCTCCGCTCCAGTGTCTGAGGAGTTGGTAGAGCCCAGCGGCCCCTACGCAGAGCTGGTGGGTTGCCTCATGTACCTGATGACTTGCACTCGCCCAGATCTCGCATACCCTCTCAGCATCCTGGCTCGCTTTGTGGCCACAGGCAGACACCGACCGCAGCACTGGTCTGCCGCTAAGAGGGTTCTGCGTTATCTTGCTAGTACATCGGGCATGGGGTTAGTGCTAGGAGGACGCAGGCCAGTGGTCCTTAATGGACACACAGACGCTTCGTGGGCAGACGACGCCGAGTTTCTCCAGTCTACCCAGGGCTACTGTTTCAGCCTTGGCTCAGGTGCCGTCTCGTGGAGAGCTATCCGCTCCTCGTCTGTTGCGCAGTCCAGCTGTGAGGCTGAGATCTACGCTGGTGCCATGGCGGCACAGGAGCTCCGCTGGCTGACCTTCTTGCTCACTGACTTAGGTGAGCGGCCTAGCTCTGCCCCGGTCCTGTTCGCTGACAACAGGGCCATGATCCTCCTGTGCCAGGAGCCTCGACTCGAGGGCAGAGTGAAGCACATTCAGCTGCGGTACTTCCTCCTGCGTGAGCTACAGCAGCGACGTCAGGCTCGCGTAGTACACTTGGCCTCAGGTGCCAACACGGCTGATATCTTTACGAAGGCGCTTGCGCCTAAAGATCATCAGCGGCACTGTGTACAGCTTGGTCTAGTTCCTGTAGCCTCTCACTTGCTAGGACCTTGACTTTGTACTGTCCTTTATATGTATACTCAGACTGGACTTGTGTCCTCTCCCAGTGGCTGGACTAGTAGTGCCGCCCTGCTCTTGTTCTTGCCTTGTCTGTACTCCTTCTGACTGGTCTCTCAGACCCTTGTCTCAGAGGTTGGACTAGTAGTGCCGCCCTGAGCTGTTTGTTTAGGACATTCCCCTATGCAGTCTAGGGGGTGTGTCAAACATGTGTATTTGTTATATTTGTATAGACTGTATAGGGTCACCTCTTAGAGGGTACAACACTTAGGTATATTTGTGTGTACTCTCACTCTATCATCAACTTCTCAATTCTGATATCGAGCACTTATAAATGTAGACTAAGGTTTAAATATACTCATGGGCACTTTATTGCCCCGCTGTGGCCAGTTGTTTAAGCGCGTGACCCAAGAACGATCAAGACTCAAAGTCTTTGATTCTTGGTCTGAGAGGCGAAATTCGCAGGGGTGTTGCGAAACGAAAAATAGGGTTGGGGAAGCGCGAAAGTCACGGACCTCGCCTGCGGGAGATGGGCGACGTTTAGGCGACGAGTTGGAACAGGGAGAGTGAACCAGAAGTGGGGCGCGTACAATGACGAAAATATATCGACCCCAATGTGTAACTAGGACTGTCGGGCCCAAAACGATCAGGCAATAGCACACGCCAGTTACCCGAAACACGAAACAAAATATTGCGGAAACACGCCCAGTTCCCCCAACCGAGCCCACGGTAACGATATTATAGCGCCAAATTTAAACCATGAACGGTATATAACTGTAGAACTAAATCTGCAAAAACAAACAATGAGCTCACTCGAAGGCCATGCGTAACAACAGGAATTTAGTACCTAGGATAGATGCATTCTAGCTGTTACGCCCAGTCGTTTATTTCTTTTCAAACAGAGTATCTTATAATAACGTTTTTTTATTTACACGAGCTTAAAGGGTATGGTGGTGCGAGGGAGAGCGCGGAAGAGGTGGGGAGAATGCACGTTGATGCGTGCAATGTCCTGCGTGTGTCATGACCCACTGTTGGGAGAGCAAGGAGAGGGGGAGGCAGATTGCAAAGAAAGGGGGTAGTGAGTGAATGAGGTGTGAGCAGAGGGGACCAGGAGGATGAGCTAAGGCCAAGGCACTGGTGAGCTGAGGCCAAGGAGCCGGTGAGCTGAGGCCAAGGAGCGGGTGAGCTGAGGCCAAGGAGCGGGTGAGCTGAGAGGCAAGAGAGCGGGAGCTGAGAGGCAAGAGAGCGGGAGCTGAGAGGCAAGAGAGCGGGAGCTGAGAGGTGAGAAAGTGGGAGCTGAGAGGCAAGAGAGCGGGAGATGAAAGGCAAGAGTCAGGCCCCACCATCACAACCTCACTCCCACCTTGTAGGCGACAAAA